TGTAACTTTTTCAGAATACTGGGAAGACTCTTTATGTTGTGGATTAGGACTACTAAAATTTTTCCAAGCTTTTCTTGAATGAAGTTTATAGTCCTTGGTCCATGATCCACCTTGAGTTGGTTTTTGTATATGGAGTGAGGTGGGGATCTTGTTTAATTCTTCTGCAGATAGTTTTCCAATTGAAGTCACACTAGCTACATCATAAGAGACTGACAGCAGCATGGTATGTTCAGAATCACAGAAATCCTGATGGCATGAGACTTAGGCCATCACATCAAGGGCTGGTCAAGGGAAGACGGGTGTTCAATGGTGTAAGCAAAAGCAGGAAGGAATGGTGGTGGAGTAGGGAAAGGATGGATAAAAAAAACCCCAAACCAAAACAAACATGTAGCAAGGGTGAGCAGCAACACTGAATCTATTGGTCATTTTTCTAACTGGGTAAATGTCTTTCATCTGTTCTTTTCTGTAAAATACTTGTCTTTCAGATACTATTATACATATTTTAAAAAATTGAGACAAACTAGGGAGAAGGATTGGCCACCTACTTCCGAAATGACAGGCCTTCGAAAACCCTATGTACAAGAGAGCACACTTAAGACTAGCAGACATGGCAATTGAGACTGAGACCTTAGAAATGAAAACACAGAGGAGGAGGAATAGCTGTAAGCAGACACTAGTGATTGGAATGCGAGAAGGATGAATGTAGGAAAATTGGACATTGTTAAGAAAGAAATGGAATGCATAAATATTGACATACTAGGTATTGGCGAAATGAGATGGCTTGGCATGGGACATTTTGAATCAGATGATCATATGATTTACTATGCTGAGGATGAAAAGGTGAGAAAAAATAGGGTTAATTTCATAATTTAAAAAGTCATTTCTAGATTAATCCCAAAATACAATGTGGTGAGTGGCAAGATAATATCCATATGCATACAAGGAAGTCCAGTGAATACCACTATCATTCAAATATATGTACCAACGAGAGGAGGAAACGAAATGGAAGATTTCTACCAACTTTTTGCAGTCAAAAATTGATCAGATATGCAATCAAGATGCATTGATAATAATGGACAACTGGAACGCAAAAGTTGGGAACAGGGAAGAAGGATCAGTAGCTGGAAAACATGGGCTCAGTAAGCTAAATGAGGCTGGAGACAGAATGATAGAATTATGCACATTCAATGATTTATTCATTGCAAATACCTTTTATAAGAAACATAAATGCAGGCTATACACATGGATTTCACCTGATGTTATGCATAGGAATCAAATCGATTACATTTGTGGAAAGACTCGCTGGAGAAGCCAGTGAAAACCAGGCCAGGTGCTGATTGTGGGACAGACCATCAACTACTCATATGCAAGTTCAAGCTGAAGTTGAGGAAAATTAAATCACATCCACGGGAACCAAAATTTGACCTTAAGTCTGTCCCACTCAAATTTCAAAATCATCTCAGGAACAGGTTTGAGGCCTTGAGCACCAATGAGCATAGACCAACTGAGCTCTGGGAGGATACAAGAAAATAATCCATGGGAATGCAAAAGATCATTACAAAGGCTGAAAAAGAAAAAAAAACCAAGATGGATGTCAGATGAAACTCTGAGTAGTGCATTAGAGCACCAAAAAGCCAACGCTAAAGCAAGAAACCAAGAAATCAAGGAGCTGTACAGAAAATTTCAAAAGGCAGTTCGGGACAACAAAGAAAGATACTATAATGAAATGTGCAGAGAGCTGGAGTCAGAAAATGAAAAGGGCAAAACTCTCTAAGCGTTTCTTAAGCTGAAGGAGTTGAAAAGACAAATTCAAGCCACGGGTGGTAATATTTTGGGTACAATGTTAAATAATCCAGGGAAGTATCAAAAGAAGATGGAAGGAGTACAGAGAGTCACTGTATCAGAAAGAATTGGCTGATCTAGAAGAATTTCAGGAAATAACATGAGCAAGAGCTTATGGTAATGAAGAAGGAAGTCCAAGTTGCTCTGAAGGAGTTGGCAAAAAACAAGGCTCCAGGAGTTGATAGAGTACCAACTGATTTATTTCAACAAACAAGACACTGCCCTGGATGTGCTAAGTTGTGCCAAGAAATCTGGTGGACAGCCAGCTAGCCTAGTGACTGGAAAAGATCAATATTTGTTCCCATTTCATAAAAAAAGTGACCCAAGAGAGAATAGAAATTATCGAACAATATCATTAATATCACATACGAGCAAGATTCTGCTGAAAATTATCCAAAAAACGTTTGGAGCAGTATGTCAACAGAGAACTGCCAGATATGCAGTCTGTATTTAGAAGAGGTCATGGTACTATGGATATTATAGCTAATGTTAGATGTATCTTGGCAAAAAGCAGAGAATACCAAAAGAATGTCTATCTGTTTCATTGACTATGCAAACGCTTTTGACTGTGTGGATCACAACAAGCTGTGGCTGACTCTGAGAAGAATGGGAGTCCCAGAACATTTGACTGTGCTAATGCGAAACCTATACTTGGACCAAGAGGCAGTCATCAGAACAGAGCAAGGAGACACTACATGGTTCAAAATCAAGAAGGGGGTTCGTCAGGGATGTATTCTGTCTCCATACCTTTTCAATATGTATGCAGAACAGATCATCCGAGACGCTGGGCTGTATGAGGAGTGTGGCATCAAGATTGGTGGAAGAGTCATCAACCACCCGCGTTACGCAGATGACACCCTGCTTGCTGAAACTGAGGAGGACCTGAAGCACTTGCTGCAGAAGGTCAAGGACTGAAGCCTTCAATATGGATTGAAGCTCAGCATCAAGAAAACAGACTCTCACCACTGGGCCAATTGGTAGCATCAGGATGGATGGTGAAGAGATTGAGATTGTCAACAATTTTAGTTTATGTGGTTCCACAGTCAACATTCTTGGTAACAGCAGCCAGGAAATCAAGAGACAAATTGCATTGGCAAGTCAGCTGTGAGGGACCTCTCAAGAGTACTGAAGAGCAACGATGTCAGGCTGGAGACGAAGGTGCGCCTGATCCAGGCGATAGTTTTCACAATTATGTGCTATGCATTGGAGAGTTAGACAGTGGGCTGAAAGAAAGAGAATTGATGCCTTTGAGCTGTGGTACTAGGGAGGAGTGTTGAATATACTATGGACTGCTAGGAGAGCAAACAGATTTGTCCTGGAGAGGGTGAAGCTGGAATGCTCCCTGGAGTCAAGGATTCTGAAGCTTCATCTGACATACTTTGGGCATGTTGCAAGGAGGGACTGGTCCTTGAAGAGAGACATCATGTTTGGGAGAGTGGAGGGACGGGGCAGGAGAGGAAGATCCTCGATGAGATGGATCGATTCTGTGACTGGGGTGGTGGGAATGAGTGTGTTTGAGATGGCAAGGTTGGCACAGGATAGAATGGCGTTTAGGGTTGTTATGAGTCACAAGCGACTCGATGGCACATAACAACAACAATTACAATATTGGAAGAAGTGCCATCAAAATGCTCCTTAGAAGCAGCAAAGATGGTAAGACTTCATCTCACATACCTTGTTATACCTTGTTTTCAGGAGGGGTTAGTCCTTGGAAAAGGACACCAATCTTGGAAAAGTAAAGGAACAAACAACAGAATGAACCTCAAAGAGATGGACTGATCTAGTGACTATAAAGAGCTTGAGCTGTGCTTGTGAAGATGATGCAGGCTTGTGTGAGGTTTTGATCAGTTGTATATAGGATTATGGCACCATGCAACAATAGAACTATAAAGGCCTCAACATGGTCATCTCAATTAACAGGTTACGGAAATGAGAAACAGTGGTTTTAGAAAGCAGCTTTGGGCCTCTTTGAGATTTTCCCTCCATCTCTTATCTACCTTCCTTCATCCTCCCTCCTGTGTTGCCTCCTTCCCCACTTTGTCCCACACTCCCTCACTGTCCTCAGCAAGCATTCCCCAGCCAGTAATCCAACAGGGCGTTGTATAACTTGACAGCAGCATGTTAGAGTGTGGGAGACAGGCAGGGATGATATGAGAAGTGAAGTTCATCGGCAGGTACAGTTGCAACATAACAATGTCACTCCCAAAAGGGTAAAACTTCTCAAAGTCTGGGTGGATGATAATCCTCTTCACAGGCATCTTCCAAGTGTGTTCAGTTTGCTGGTACAGTTGTGTGCTTCCCAAGAGAACCTGGTAGTCTTGTGGAGCCTGGGATTTGCTGGAAGAGAAAGGATACATCATCATCATGTTTGAATAAAGAACTAGCACCCTCTTTACACATCTTCATTAAATTTCCCATACCCTTCTGGGTCCCTGTACCCCACTATTACTACATATAGCTTTTGTCTCCACCTTTCTAAAAGCAGCTCTTTCTTGAGGCTGATTAAAATTCTACTCACAACCAGAAGACATATGGTTTCCGCATCATGTCCTAGAATTACAGGAGCAGAAAATCTTAGTACCATGTTTGGCGAGATCATCAAACAAAAGCATGTCAGGCTGTGAGATAAAAGGTAAGCAGTTCAAAACACCAGGCACTTCATAGGAGAAAGACAGCCTTCTCCCTAAAGATTTACAACCACGGAAAACCAATGAAAGGCCACTTTGGGGCAGAAAAGGTTTAACAGCAGTGGGTTATTTTACCAAAGGAAGATCTGACTCAATGTTAGCTCTAACTTGAACTTTCTGAAGGTTTCACAAGGTCGACCATCTTTCCAGCCTCTTATTCTTTTTTTTTTAACACACATCCAATTTTTTAATGGTTGCTTCTCCACATGATTGAAAGCACTCAAGAAAGATTTGTTAAATAAACAAGTGTATGAAACAAAAACTCTTCTTGTTCAGTGAACATGCCAAACTCCCTTTGTTCACACTGTTGAAACACTTGAAAACCCTCTACCACTCCATGGGTCCAAATCCTTTCCTTATGAGAAGTCCTTTCAGCTCCTCAACCTAGGCAGGACTCCTAGGAGCTCTTCTTAATCCCTAGACTGGATGGAGCAAAGCATTTTTTTTGTCTTTGTTGTTGTTGTTATGTGCCATCGAGTCACTTGCAACTCATAGCGACCCTATGTACAACAGCCCTAAAACTTGCTCTGTCCTGTGCCAATCACACTGTCTCCAACACAGCCACCCCAATTACCCCAGTCACTGAATCAATCCACCTCATAGAGAGCCTTCCCCTCCTGTGCTATCTCTCCACCCTCCCAAGCATGATGTCCCTCTCAAAGGACCTCCTTACAACATGTCCAAAGTATGTAAGACAAAGCCCCAGAATCCTTGCCTCCAAGAAACAGCCCAGTTTAACCCTCTCCAGGATGAATCTGTTTGTTTTCTTAGCAGTCCATGGTACACTCAATACTCTTCTCCACCATCACAGCTCAAAGGCACCCACCAATTCTCCTTCTATCCTCCCTAGTCATTGTCCAACTCTCTGATGTATAACAAGTGATTGCAAAGACCATGGCCTGTATCAGACGCACTCTGCCTAAATCCTCATCTTTTTCTATAGCTCTGGCAGCCCTTGTCACTCATTTTGAGGCCTTCTTTCCTACTTCACCCTTATTAAGCCTGTGCCTCATATTCAGACAGGATAGTGATGACTCAAGTTGAGATCTGCTGTCCTTTACGAAACAGAAGATTTCACATGAAATATGGCACAGAGTAGTTGCTAAGAGAATACAATCGAGGTCTAAATTCAGTCAGGGCCAGAGCTTAAATTCCCTGACACTTTGTCAGGCCCAGGATCTAACCAGGGGTTAGACTCATGGCTCATGGCCCATGACTCTAAGAGAAGAATGTCCCACCTCTTCCTATCCATGCACCTAAAACATAAGAGGCTAACACAGCTATTATTCAAATATTATACACCAATAACTAAAGGCAAACGGGAGAAAATTGAGGTTTTCTACCACCATTTGCAGTCTGACCAAACATGCAATCAAGATGAATTGATAATAACTGGTGGCTGTAATGTAAAAATTGAAAACAAAGGACTAATAGTCAGAAACTATGGATTTGGTGACAGAAATGAGACTGGAGATTGAACTGTTAAGTATTATACAATGAACTAGTCATTACAAATACATTTTTTTAAAGTATAAACAGTGATTATGCACATGAACTTCACCTCACAGACGACACAGGAATGATTTGACTACATCTGTGGAAAGAATCGTTGGAGAAACTCAAGCTCAGAAGTCAAAACCAGACTATGCATTTACCTACACAGACACAGAAGATGATGCCAAAAAGAACACAACATAATGTTAAGAAATAGAAATCAGATTTAAACAGTATAAAAAAGCAAAACAAGCCTTCTTTTAAAAAAAGCAGATGAGATAATGCAACCAATGAATACCCACAGACAGGAAGGCAGAAGGAATACACACAATGTCATAGAATTCCAAGATATGGTGGTTGCTGTTGTTATTGTTAGGTGCCATCGAGCCATAGAGGACTCATAGCGACCACAGGGCCTGAGCACTGTTCATAGAGTTTCTGGAGGCAAGCCATTTCGGAAGCAGATGCCACTCCTGTTTCCAGCCAAGACATGATACTAAAAAAAATAAAAATAGTGGAAGAAAGAGTTCAAATCAAAAGTAAAGACATATAAGAGGGGAGGGTGGAGCAAAGGGTGAGAGGATGAGGGGGCTTAATCATAGGGTGTCAAAATTTGATGAGTGCAGGGAAGGGTGGGTAAAGGGGATAGATCTGGTGTGAAAAACAATGTATACAAACTCTGTAGGTAAACCAGTATAAAACAAATTTTTTTTAATTTAACAAAGAAAAAAGACATAAGAATTTTAAAATATCATTACAAAACAAAGAGGGTACAACCAATGAAATACTAAAAACAAGAAAGCATGAAAATGAAATTCAGAAGAACAAGATCAATATTACAGAAGTTTTCAACATATGGCAGAACAAAAGAAGAGATGGAAGAGAGTGAGTGAGACAGAAGACCCACAGGGAGAACCTCCTAGAAGAAAAAGAGACAAGATGGCAGGAAAATGAAGAAAATGTAATAACAAAGTGGGATGACATCAAATCAAAAACACATGTGATGTTGTTGTTATGTGCCGTCGAGTCCTTTGCGACTCATAGTGACCCTATGTACAATAGCCCTAAACTGTGCTCTATCCTGTGCCAATCTCATTGCCTCTGACACACCCATCCCGATTACCCCAGTCACTGAATCAATCCACCTCATAGAGGGTCTTCCCCTCCTGCGCTGTCCCTCTACTCTACCCAGCATGATGTACCTCTCTAAAGACCTGTCTCTCCTTACATGTCCAAAGTATGCCAGACGAAGCCCTAGAATCCTTGCCTCCAAGGAGTAGCCTGGTTTAACCCTCTCTAGGCTGAATCTGTTTGTTTTCTTGGCAGTCCATGGTACATTCAATACTCTTCTCTAGCACCACAGCTCAAAGGCGTCAATTCTCCTTCTATCCTCCCTAGTCACTGTCCAACTCTCTGATGCATAAAAAGTGATTGCAAAAACAGTGGCCTGTATCAGGCACACCTTAGTCTCCAGAGAGACACCGTTGCTCTTGAGGACTTTAAGAGAGGTCCCTAACCGCAGACTTTTCCATCGCAATACGTTTTTTTGATTTCCTGGCTACTGGTACCAAGAGTGTTGATTGTGGAGCCAAGGAGACTAAAGCTGTGAACAATCTCAATCTCTTCGCCATCCATCCTGATGCTACCGATAGGTCCAGTGGTGAGAATTTTTGTCTTCTTGACATTGAGCTTCAGTCCATATTGAAGGCTACAGTCCTTGACCTTCTGCAGTAAGTGCATGAGGTCCTCCTCAGTTTCAGCGAGTAGGGTTGTGTCATCTGCATAACGCAGACTGTTGATAGATCTTCCACCAATCCTAACGCCACACGTCTCCTCATAGAGCCCAGCCTCTCAGATAATCTGCTCTGCATACAGGTTGAAAAAGTATGGAGCTAGGACACATCCCTGGCGTACACCCTTCCCAATTTTGAACCATGCAGTGTTGCCCTGCTCTGTTCTGGCGACTGCCTCTTGGTCCAAGTATAGGTTTCGCATCAGCACGATTAAATGTTCTGGGATTCCCATTCTTCTCAGAGTCAGCCACAGTTTGTTATGATCCACGCAGTCAAACGTCTTTGCATAATCAATGAAACACATAGACATTCTTCTGGTATTCTCTGCTTTCAGCTAAGATCCATCTAACATCAGCTACAATATCCCTAGTACCACGACCCCTTCTAAACCCAGCCTGGACTTCTGGCAGTTCTCTGCTGATGTACTGTTCCAGTCGTTTTTGGATAATCTTCAGGAGATCTTGCTTGCATGTGAAATCAATGATATTGTTCTGTAGTTTCCACACTCAGTTGGGTCGCCCTTCTTTGGGATGGGAATATAGACCTCTTCCAGTCAGTTGGCCAAGTGGTTGTTCTCCAGATTTCTTGGCACAACTTGGTGAGCACATCCATGGCAGCATCTGTTAGCTGAAATATGTCAATTGGCATACCATCTATTCCGGGGGCCTTATTTTTTGCTATTTGCTTCAAAGCAGCTTGAACTTCTGCCTTCATCATAGGAATTTCAAAACAAAGTGGGAGGAGGGAAGAAGTTTTTGTTATTATGTGCTGGCAAGTTGCCTATGGCTCATAGCAACCCTATGAACCTGCCCTGTCCTGAGCCAGTCTACCTGACTTTGACACACATACCCTCTTTGCCCTAGTTACAGTTTTCAACCCTTCTCATCCGGGGTCTTATTCTTCTGTGCTGTCCCTCCACCCTTCTGAGCATGATGTTCTTCTCCAAGGATCCTGGCTACATGCCATGTCAAAGTATGTGAGATGGAGCTTCAAAATCCTAGACTCCAAGGAAAACTTGGTTTCACCTTCTCCAAGACAGACCTATTTGTTTTCTTGGTGGTCCACAGTATGTTCCAGACTGTTCTCCAGCACCACAGCTCAAAGGCATCAATTCTTCTAACATCCTTAGTCATTTCCAGCTCTCTAATGCATAGCAAGTAATTGCAAAGACCATGGACTGCATCAGGTGCACCTTAGTCTCTAGAATGACATTGTTGCTTCTCAGTACTCTAGAAAAGTCAATGACAGCAGATTTACCTAATGAAATTCTTTTGATTTCCTGACTGCTGGGGCCAAGAGTACTGACTGTAGATCCAAGCAAGCTGTAACTGTTAACAACCTCAATCTCTTCTCCATCCACAAA